CTAACAGAAACATCATTATTATGCTAGTAGTAATCAGGATCAGAACATAGTCAACACGAGGAAAGACTATACAGACACTGTAGTCATCTGAGGTACAAAAAAGCATACATGTTTTAAAACAATATTAAATCTGAATCTTAAAAGTTTGGCAAGAATTACAACAGTATAAGGAAATGAATGCCTGTGATGTAAATCTAAATGACTGGCTATAGAATGTATCAGTCTGGGTATAATGTAATTTTGCTGAGTTCTCATCTCATCCTATACACCTTAACTCTCATAAACTATTCCATGGAATCAGTCAGGTTGCTAATTATATTAAGTTTGTTTTACTGTAAACTAAGCCTGAAATAAGAAATACTGAGCACTAAGCAACACAATCAGAATATTCACAAGTTTTCAGAAATGTTTTTCCTATATAAAAAATCGGACTGTGACCTGCCTTGTCAAGTGCATTTTTTCTATTATTCCTTAGCTAGTCACTATCAGTATCAACAGTCCTGGAAAACATGTTCTTTTTGTTGTATTCACTGGGAAGTTTAATAAGGCTCCTAATTCTCTTACACCACCTTTTCCTTTGTTCCAAAACTAGAAACAGGCAGGTGTGAAAACTGCAAGGTACCAGCTAGCAGTTCTGATGCTCAGGAGCTGGTGTCCTGACAGCCCCAAGATCTTCAAGCCTCCAAGAAGCAGCAGAGGCCAAAGCAGACACCCGAACAGCACTGTCCTGTGACACAGGAAGAGTGAAATGATAGTTTATAAAGCAAGAGGAATCGTTTGGCATAACTCTGACATATAATTAAAAGAAGTAACTTTTGCAAAATAAGCAATTCTTATGTTTGTACATGCCTGTTAAAACTACTTAAGTAAACTACAGTTTTGATTAACATTAATTGCAGAAACTGCTTTGAGTAATATAATATTCATTCACAAATTCTACATTAATTTCAAAAGCCTTATCTGAAACGTCTTTCTGTGATGGACACACTCATACTTTTAGCAGGTTTTCTTAATCTCTTATATTGAAAGCCAATACTTTATTCCTAGAAGATAATTTAGCTGTTTCTGAAAAAAAAATACTTAGTCATCCTGATAAACAATTTATGAAAATGTTTCACCTTCCTTAAAAGGAAACACAGCTAGTTATCCCTCCAAGACTTTTTTTTTTTTATAGCTTGAATTTTCCATTTTTCAAGTATGCACCTTACTGCCTGGTTAGAACAGGAGAACTGGAACAGTATTGAATCATACACTTCAAAGCCATCTGATTCCAATATTTCATTTTGGAAAAATAATATGATAATTTAAAATGCATTATTGGAAATCACTTTTCTTCCCACAGGCCTAAATAACAGCAAATGGTGCACATGTGTGCACACGTGTTAGGGGAAAGTTAATTAACAAAGTCAACATCAGAACGGGAGTTTTAAAAATAATGCTATGGTTTTCAGTTGGAAAAAACAGCAAACCTAAAGGTCATTTACGTTCTCCATGAAGCTATTTACATGTGACTAGAACTTGGTGAATAATTCTGCGCCATACAGTACTCTCACTCTGCTGACTCGACTAACAATCTTTTCCATGGTCCACCCAGATGACCAAGCAATGAACTTAAAACACCACCATTGATCTTACTAATTGCATCTGCCACTTTACGTGGTTCCTTGCTTCTACTCAGCTTTCTTTCCAAACACCATTCCAATTGTTAAATGATCAGAATACACAAAGTGATAGATTTAGTGCTTCCTTGGCAATTTATATAACTGACTGCAACTCTGTTGTTGCAGTGAATCATGATTTATTTGTCTCACAATGCAGCACATAACCTTTTAAATGCTAGGGAAAAAAATGCCAGCGCCTCTTTAAAGTTTATATATGACTGCCCACCACCATTCCTCATGAACTGGGTTTTGAGAGACAAATGATAAAAACAAGCTGTGAATTCCACCCACCTCCTCCCGGCCATTTCCTGCATTCATCATCCACACATACTGTATTTACAGACAAGCATCCTCATCAAGAGAGCCAATACACTGTTCTAGGCTCCTCATTTCCTCTTGGGCAAGAATATTTGTTTTCTTAGATTAACCATAGGTATTCTCTGCTAAATGTGGACAAGGATAATGCTGATCTCCACTAGCCCTCACATGACTTACACGACACCCAGCAGCATCCAGTGAAGGTAACAGAGGACTGAGAGCTTTACTGATATATTTTGATCCCACTGCCCATTCATGGCCTTTTCTTTTACCCTACTCTCCATAAATTCTTCTCCATTTATTTTCATAAGCTTAATTATTTTTAAATTTAGATTACCAGGATTCCAGCCCTCACCTTGCTCAAATACACAGTTTTGTTCTGGTGATTATATTGTGCCCACCTCTCTCGTAGATGAGCACCTAGTGATTCTCTCTTGTCCATTGGTGACCAAGCTCCTAAAACTCATAAGCCAGTCAAAAGCCTTCACGATCTTTAATTAAGAGAGTGATAATAAGAGAGGAAAGTTTGCTTGCTTTAAATGGAACAGTAATACCTTCACTTAATGCAAACATCACTTGTTTACTGAAAAGCTATTTATTCAATATACCCAGCATAAAATGTTTGGGTAGTTCTCCTTACACTATAATTCCATTTTAAAAATTTAGAAGGGAGTCCTTGGGTAGCCGGTAATCATTTTTTCCACAAACTGTGACTATGAAGTTTCATTAGGGTGCTTGCATGCTGCTTTTATTTGTGGTTGGAAAGCTGTCTGTAAAGGAGGGCTCCTCTAAATTGTCCCAAATTTGCAGAGGGAAAACAGGGCTGCAGAGATGAAATGACTTTTCCTAATCATCCAGTAAACTCGCTTGCCTGTGCTCTCCTCCTACCTGGTCTCAAGGAAGGCTCCTAAGCACTAGGTCCAGTGCCCAGTTTACGAAGCTGAATTCTCTACATGTCAAATAGGTGTGCAACAAATAATCAGAATATTTATTTTCCTTAGTAAATATGGTTGCAAACTGCATAAGTTACAAACCTGGACTTCAGTGTAACGTCCTCTGGAGTGTAATGCCCAAAATCCGAGATATTTTAAGTATCTGACAAACTTCTGCCACTGTGTATGGCATAGACTACAACAGAAATTAGGTCAACAGATCACTACTGAATGAATTAATAAACTTCCTGAATATGACCATAAAGTGAAACATCAGGAAATTAAGGTATGAACATGGAGGTATAATTTATAAAAGTTCAGTTGAGTAGTAAAGAGGAGAAGTGACCAGCATTTCAGTTGTGTCAATGTACCTCATCCTGACCTGGTGAATCAAAATTACATGTCCTTTTTCTGCCAGATCATGGTATTGCTCTGCAGTGCAAACAAATGACAGCTAAAAGTGAGAAATGCTTCCCTTGCCTATTCTGAATTTGGCAGGTCATGGCAAGATAAACACAAATAATTTCATTTCAAGCGTTTCTGTTTGGTATGGACAGTGATTTTAAACCCATTTGAAGAAAATTTGCTATTGTGACTGTAAGACAGCAGTGTTTAGAGCATTTAATCAATCACAGATGATGCTCAGACTCAGTGCAACGTTTAATTCCACTTTCAGGAAAAATCCGAAGCTGTGATTTAGGAATCTACAGAAAGGTACCTTCACAGATACTGCACACTTCCAAAGTTTTGGAAGTTGAAAGAAACGAAACATGACCATGACGAAAGGCTAAAGAAAGAATACACCAGTGTTACAGATTTTAACACATGAACATCTGGAGCGATGGAGATGAGAGAAACTTTTATTCTCATTGTGGTGAGAAGCAAAGTAGTAGTTTGCAATCCTGATAAAGGTGAAAAAACAACAGACAAAAACAAGCTGCATGAACAAAGCCAAAACAAACTTACTTCCCTTGCCCTGTGAAAAAAGCCGTCTTTTCCTGTCCTGTTTAAAACAAAATGCTTAGCAATATCACATGCAACATGAAGCATACAATGTACACTATCACATTTATGTACAGGGATACCAAATACTGCATTCTCGAATGAGTTGAAGCCTATTTTTGTGACAACAATTAATTTTGCTGTAACGTGTGACAGTTCAGGCTCTACTTTATTTGCTTTTAGGAAATACTATTTGGAAGGAACTATTGGGAACAAGAAGGTATCCTGACATAACAGCCCACATTGACAGGAAACAAGGAGAAATATCTGTGTAACAGGTAACTGATGCTGCTGCATTACTCTCAATGAAAATATTTTAAAGCATGTCATGAGAGACTTTCAAACTCAATTCAGGCTTGTCACAAACTGCCCACTTCTAGTGAAGTTAATGCTTCTCACATAAAGTGAACTATTCAAACAAATATATCAACCTTGATGAATTTGTATGTTTCAAAGAAAAACTCTACCTGCTAGGTAGAAATCAAAAAGGCTACTTTTAGCCTTCTACAAATGGCAGAAAACACAGATTCAAAGTATAGCAACCAACCTTACTGTTTTAACTGAAACTCAGTAAAAATGACAGGCTGCTGAAACAGAAAAATAAAAAAGCCTCCAGTTTTCCCATATTTTCTCCAGTTGACCACATTCCCATTTTTATAGAAAGATTCACATAAAGCCACTCCCCTACTGCTGTCATCTCTGCTCAATGTAATTTTTGCTGATGCAAATAGTGTTTTCAACACTAAGTGTTTGCTGACCCTCAGTCAGAGACAAGGATAATGCTGCAGAGCCAATACTCAATATATGCTATACTACACAGGATATTTTATACAGATTGACAGAACAACAAGAAACAAAATATGTAAAAATCTAATAAAGCCAAACATGCTGCATCTTCTGGTCTCTCCTGCATATCAGCAAGCGGGAAAGACAGTGAGTGTTTCGGAGAGGAGAAAAAATATTAGCAGCAATGATGATCTCAGCTCAAGCATTTCTTAAAGCCTACCAACTGGTTTTGTTCGAGAGGAAACACAGTACATCAAAATCATAATTATTCAAATAAATAAATGATTGTCTACAATCTTACCCAGTTCTGGGGGCAGCACAGTTAGTCGATTTCCCTGGATATGAAGTTCCTTAAGCTGAGTGAGCTCACCAATTTCTTTAGGCAGTGATATCAAGTCATTGTCTCTAAGACTCAGCTAAGAGGGAATATAAAGTGGTCAGAACAATTTTCGGTTACCATAAAAGCAGCTTAAAACAGAAATCTACTCCGTCTACCTCACCCTTCCCTCAAATGCTCAATTCTTCCAATTTATTTACAAGTGTCTGCTGATAAATAAGAAATAGTTCCAGATGTAGTGGTCTACTCCTGCAAACGTACCTTACTACTTCTTGAATTGACTAGATTCCACTCCTACAAGCATTGTGAAAGTGAATTGATTTTCCAAGAATTTAGATAAATTACTTACTATCTGCAACTTCGTGAGCTTCCCAATATCTGGCGGCAGGATTTCAAAATCGTTGTCACTTAGATAGAGTGCACGCAGGGTGGCTGCAAATTAAATAGCAATATATAAACAGGGTGACATATAACCCAAACATTTGAGGTCTAATCAATAAAAGGGAGTCAGGTTTGATTAATAACCCTGACTTGGTGAAAAGCCTTTGACATACCCAGGGCACACAATAATAACAAGCAGGTCAAACTTAGATTTACTGGGTTATTGTATTGTTGGTGAGTTCAGGAAAACATCTATATTCAAAAGAACTGACACAATTAACAATTTCTACAATAGTAAACTCTGGCAGGTTCTGGCACATAGTTTCAATGCTCAGCTGTCAGGATAGAGTCATTATTCTTTATTGCCTGGATTCTTATTACCCCAGTTTGCATCCTAAATAAGCATAAAAAAGCAGTGTTTTTTTTTTCCTTTGTACAAATGCACATCTGTATTTAACACTACAGAAAGCATGACCTAACACTGGGTAGAGACCTTAAAACAGAATAAGTACCCAATATAGCAAACTCAAATTGTTTCATTTGTAATTTTCACGCTTTGTCTCTATGAAATTTGCAGAGAAAAAGGATGACCTCGGATAATCATGTAGCTTGATATTATTGAATGAGCATACATGTCAGTTTGCAAGAAAATGTAAATGGAGACATACAAAGAACTACTGAAGGCAGGCATCCAGGTGAGAAAACCTTCTCCTCTCCTCCAGAGAAAGATATCATTTCTCTTATGCAGTTTCTGCCTCTCCTTTTCATGTAATCACATAAGAATATTTTTAATAACGATAACTTTAAAATTTCCCACTCTCTGGTTAGTCATGAATCTTTCATGGACTGCAGCATTCCTTCCCCTCCCCTTATCTGTCCCTTTTGCTGGTTAGTGCATGGATCCTGAGGTCACTTCAGCATAGTACCTGAAAGGATTTGTAAGGCAGCAGAATCACTGAAAGCTAGAAAAAGTCAGAATTCAAGTTGCTTAGGCAATACTAACTCAGTCCTTTTGCATATATGCATTACAAGGCACTTATTTTAACTAAATGGGCATGCTATTTAATGTACAGAACAGTCAGCTAAGTTCTGCCATTCCAGTGCCAAGCACTGTAACCTTAGCCTATTTTTAACACACCAGACATTTGAAATACTTACAAGCTCTTAAAACTGTGGTGATAAGGAACCCTTAAGAACCCAATCATTTTCAGAATCAACAAACGACAGTTGAACTATTTATCCTTCCCTGTGGCTTTCCCGCTTCCGTAAAGTTTTAACTAAGTGCAAGACTCAAGGAAATATTACTCAGAAGAAAATATACCATTACTAACCAAGTCCTCTCATGTCCAGTGGTGTCAGGTGACTGTATATCAGTGATACATATTGCTGAGCTACGGAGAAATATTCAAGAGGACCCAAAGAAGAGAAGCATAAATATCTGAAAAATTCTGTTGGAGTTTGGCTCTAGGAAATAAATTTTGCCTGCAGAAAGCAAAGTATCATATGCAGAAAATTTATAGATTTTTTAAAAAGTTTCTTACTCAGATAGAAGAAGTTTCCAGGTAGAGAATTCTCATTTAAGTTGTTGTAAGTCAAGTCAAGAACCTCCAGAGCTGGTAAAGATCCGAATCCTCTTGGTAAGGTATTTAACCTGTTCATGCTGTAAGTGAAGAGGAAAGAAGAGGACATGATACCAGAATTAAACTCATTTGGTAGGAATAATAATTTGGCAACAAGACCAAATTTTGCTTTTTCATTTCTCTCTCATTTTTAGCATTTCTTGAAGAGGGTTTCATGTTAAGAGATACTGAGAAAGCTTTTTGCAATGTAGACCTTTCTACTCTCTTGTTCCCAGAATTATGCCCAAATCTTATGCATTCATATGGGATTCAGTTTGTTCCATCTATCAAAACACCGTGCCTTCAACATGAAGCAAATGTAGACAGGAGCCACACTGCTATGGTCAAGCTAAGCAGCGTACAGAGCAAGCTGGTCCTCGATAGCTGGCCTAGGCCCTCTTGCTACACTACAGTTTGCACTTTTGCATCTCATTACATCTTTACCACCTGCCATAGTTCGCTCATATTGTATTTTGATACCAGAATGAAGAACTACACAAAGAGGAATATTTCAACGGTATACTGCTGATAGCCATTGTTTCACTGTTGCTCAAGTCCCTTCTCAAGATCAGCAAATTTTTATGATTAGTTTTTTTTTTTTAAAAAAATCATTAGATATCATTAGGTGCCCATGGAGCATGAAACAAATGTCAATTTGTTTCATGAGACTTAAGTCTAAATACAGCTACCTTCGAGCACTGTTAGGGGGTTGAGGATAGCAGTTCACAAGGCAACAGCCAGAGGGACGTGTAAAAACTAACAACTAACAAAAGGAAAAGATTTTTCTGATAACATGGAGAGGACAGCTCAAGAAAGGAGAGTAAGTTTGAACTGAACTCAAAAGAAATAAAGGAGGAGGTCCAGACATCCCTAGATCTGTTGCAGTGAAAGAGGTAGACTAGGAGATGGCAGTACTCTTGATACCACCTTAGTTTCAACACACAGACAGAGCTTTGGATGCTCACAACAGGAGAGGAAGAGCACCAGCAGCTTAAAACTCTTATCTCTAATGCTTATATACCAAATATATAATGCGCTTGCATGAATCCTGCTTCATTTGCCACTTGTGTCTGAAAGTGCAAAAACAACAGGCGCACGCAGATAGCTATTTTAACAAACTGGATTTTATTGTTCATCTGTCAGAATTCTTATGTGGTGATGGGAAACAAACATGAATTTTCACTTGTGATCACTAGAAATATTCTTAACTCCCAAGTTATTTGACTCAGCTTCTAACAGCCACAACTGAAGTCTACAGGAAACGTAAGGGGAATACACAGAATGCCATATAATGCTAAAAATTGAAAACTCAAGTTAAAGCTTTGACAAAACTGTGTACTCAAAATTAGCAAAGACTTCCTGCTTTAATCTCTAGGGTCTTCTCTCCCACATGCAGTGTTCACCAAACAGTTATAGTGTGTGGTAAATATGATAAAGGATATCCACAGGAAAGTGAATAAACCCCATTGCATCTTAAAAGTTCTTTTAAATATTGTGAATGAAAAGCAAAAGCAACCTCCATACTGTAACTGTGCATCCATAAGAACTAAGGCAGAAGGCGTATCTTTTCTCTTAGTTTCTCTCATACTAATCTCATCTCACCTCTCCCACTTTTCCATAAACAAGCCCAATTGTAATAAGAAATTGTACAGATCAGTTCTTTGGAGTTAAATTTCAAATAAAATCTTCTTTGTCCTCATTCCTGACGAGTGAGCCACAGGTTGAGGGAGAATCCATCTCTTTTCGGATCCATGACTTACACACTCTTCCCATCGAAGCCTAACTTTGGAAGGAGGCACAAAGAGCTTCTCCACACAGAGTAGGTTGTAACAGGAGAACGAAGCCCTAGGATAGCACGAAGCTGTAGGTTCAAATCTCCCCAAAATAAAGAGGAGCTAAAATACCCCATATCCTGGGACTCTGGGGTGGGTACTGGCAGCAGCAGTGAGGAAGCAAGTGCACATGAGCTTTCCAGGGATTCACAATCCATTGTCACTATTGTCCTCTTCCTCCCACAACACCTTTCCCACAACTTCCTTTGTTCCAGGGATATCCACCTCAGAGAGCCCTGAACTTCGCGCTGCCGGCCCCTTCCTTACTTAGATATGGGGAAATGAAAAATGAAGGTTTCAGAGCTTGAGCTTGTATGTTGAGGATGTGACAATGTTAGGAACAGCAGAAGACCATAATTTTTAATTTTTATAGTCATAGTAATGAACACAGTAATTTGGGAACTGCAACACTAACATTAAAAGGCTCTGCTTAGGCACTTAGAGAAGCTTTTAACCTTAAAAGTACTTAAATTATTTACTCTTTTTAGGCATATACCATGGGTAAGTTGTTCTGTATTGCTCCAAGTCTCTACTTAAATGGCCTAAATAAGATCCAACATGTATCTGTATCTTTGTTTTTGACATGATAAGGTAACTAGAATTACCTCATTCACCTGTATGCACACGTACATTGATTGGTATTTAAGATCACAACATGAAGATTAACAAATGCCAATGTAATCTCCACACATTGTTTATGAAAACAGATTTAACATACAGTTTATAGAATATAATACTGTAACAAGGCTCTGTTAGGTATGTGCAGGAGAGAGATGACTGGCTTTACCATTAGCAAATCAGCTAGACCCTGCTTTTACAAACTTATTCATGTAATTAAGGCAGATCAGGTAGCAAGAGCCATTAGTTAAACATTTGCAAAGTACCAAATCCCAGTGGAAGTCTGCAGAATTGAAGTCTTAATCTCACTCTGTCAAAGTTCTTCTGTGAAGAGCCCTGCTCATATTAACTGTATATCCATGTAAGGAGGACTTGTCTTGCTACAGAGTGGGCCAGTGGGTGGGAAGTTAGGGACACTTGTCCTGCTAAGGACAGGCACCCGATATTAGTGCTATAGAAGCAGTTATTAAATTAGACAGTCTAAAGGATGTCAGTCATTGCTACTGCAGACTTATCACTGCTTTAAAGGCTGCCCTTTGCATCAAACAGAACTAACAAAGGCAGCTCCTTTTTCACTAGCAACACAGGCAAAGTTAATGGCACTGCTTCTTTACCTTCCTTTCTGTAAGCAATGAATGGAAAGAGCAGACTCCTACCCACAATAGGCAGAATGTTATCTCCTCTTCCATCTGGTGCTCTTTTCATGCTCAAGTCCCTGGCCAGCACTTTTCTGCCCTGTAGAAGTTCAGTGTTTGATTCTGTGCCAGAGAAATGGTGTCACAGATGCTCTCCAGATTTTTACTTTCAGTACCGTAGCAAACTTTCTCTTTTCCCTCCTCATCACTCGACCCTTCTGCCCTCAAATCCTCCCAAAAGTATTCTCTGCTCTTATTCAGGCTTCCCATATCCCCCAAGGTAAGGTACAGTTTTGATGCCTTGTGGGTACCTATGCCACAGACAGTGCAAAAAAAAAAATATCCTAAGATAGGAGTGCAGAGCAATTTCCCCTTTGTTGACTCCACAAGCAAGACAGCCATCACAACAACTCCTGAAGCAGACCCATTTTACAATACTAAACCTGGGTTGTAAATGCAGTGTCAGAGCCTGGAGGTGAGGAGGGAGCAAGAATTCAAGCTACAGCATCTTGGGCACTATGACACATGAAGGCAGCAAGCATTTCCAGGCTCAAGACAGTGAATGAATACATAACAAAATAATCCATGACATCCAGGAGACTTGATCTCAATTGGACTGCCACACTACAGGAATAGGAAAAAAAAAAAGTCGCAGAGATGAGTATTTGAAATGCACAACCAGTTATCACTGGTATACAGGACACTACGTAGAGACTCTGAAGCCACAACTGCAGCTGCGATAAACACTTTCAAAGAGAAAGTTTAATGGCAAAAAAAAAAAATCAACAAAAAATCCAGTTTTAAAACCAGTTGTAGCAACTGGTATGACAGCATTTCTATTACGGCATTTTTTTGCATTAAGATACGCACCCAAGATTAAGGTGTTTGAGCTTCTGAAGGCTGCTAATCTGCGTAGGCAGCTCCTCAATCTGGTTGTTGAAGAAGTTGAGCACTTCTATGTTTCTCAGGTCTGCGATGTTTGCTGGTACAGCTGTGAAGAAGATTTCACAGTGAAAGACTGTAATTGTAACAAGCAATCTAGATGGCAGATGCTCTAGTGACACCTGTCTTTTGTTCTGTTTGTATAATGGCTAGCAGTAAAAACAGGGTCGCAGAAAACACTATCTAAGAGGTATTGAAGTAAAAGTCATTTTTATTTAAAGATTCTTATATCTGGAATCTGTTTTCATCGCTGACAGCAACTGCTCTTCAGAAAAGGACTGCTAGTGTTGTAAGGTATTTTGACTAACAAAAAAGCCACTGCAAAGATAGACAAGCACCACAAATGTTTTCATAAACTAAAAAAAGGAAGAGGTATTTCTATGTTTGCATAGCACTAACTACACACACAATACTCAAAAGAACAGCACCTAAGATATTTGGATCACTGCATTATGGGTCAAAACGTGGATGACACTAGTAGTTAGTCCTTGGCAGCAAAGCTGAAACAGAAGCTCACTCCAAGCAACAGTCCATCCTGCTCACTGCTTAGGTAATCCAATTTCTTATCCATTTATGATTTAAAAGTTACAATTAAAATTCAACTCTAAATGATGCATTGTTCAGTCAAGCCATTTTTTGAATTATTATTATCTCCCATAACTGAAGAACTGATCAGTGCACATCAATTATTACATTACTTCAGTAACAGATCAGTGTCTCGTTATTATCTAGAAATATGAAAAAATAACACAGAAGCATAGCACGAATATGCCTGTGGAGGAAAAAGGTTAAAGGATATTTAAATTTCCACCTTTTTTTTCTCCTTAAAGAGAGACTTAAGCACACAGATGAAGCATACATAGGAGAAGATTGACTAATTGCTTGCACTGAAGTTTGCACCTGTGTTCAGCATTCACCTTCGCTCGGTGTTAACTTCGACTGCAGCAGAAACCCAGAGTGCACATCTAAATAACTGCAAGTTTTTGAGGCCCTCATTTTCTTTTACTTGCTGGCACGAGGCAACCTCCATCTTAGAAAGAAGTCAATAATGTTTACCAAGCAGAACATTATAGTATGTCACATTTAGTAGATTATAAGCATAATTACATTGTTCACAATAGCAGGATCTCTAACAAATCTTCTAATTACACTGCATAAATACTATTCACTATTAAGGGTTATAGTCATTGCAGGAGTTGCTTAGCATACATTTTAAAGGCAAATTGAGTATTTAAAAGCCCTTAATCTGTGGTAGATTCTCCCGGCCTGTGCCTGCCTGCCAGTCAATGATGGTAAGAATTACTCGCCTTCAGAAAGTTCTTCAAATTATTCCCAAAGTTAAGTGAGGATTTTAATTGACATAATACAGATGTTTTCAGTCTCAATTTTTCAGCAGAACAGCAATTACCACTATTAAAGTGTTTTCCTTTCAGAAATTAGATTTGATAATCTGACTTCAATGAGATGACTTGGCAATCTCTATTTCTGCTGTTTAGTGATACTGCATTTATTTCACAACAAAAATTCAGAATACTAGCAAATAAAGGCTTTAGTTTAGACACAGAACCTAAGCAATTGAGACCCCAATGCTGTTCTCTTGCTGTTCCACTGCTAATGCAATTAAATCCTGGTCTGAAGGTTCTAGCCTTTAACAAGATGAAAGATTTCACTCTGCTAGAAGAAAAATCAGTTCAACTTAATCCCTCAAACTATGCTCACTGTGATGCAGAGCTAGGCTGTGGGAACACAGAAGCAAAAGACCCACAGTCAGGTCATCTGGGCTGTCTGTTTTGTCAGCTTTGTATTTCCATCATTGCAACAAGATGATCAAGAAATTAAGAGACTATTATCTAAGGCACTGGAAGTTCTCCAAGCCAGCTAAAAAAAAGGAACATCTTACTCCAAGGACATTACTGCTGTCAAAAAGACACAAAGCCGATGGAATGTCTCTGATCTTCATGTGAGGTAGGACTGCAGAAACTGTGAGATTATGGAGACAATTCCTTAGTTCTATCCCAAAGCAAAGCAAACCAGCAGCACAGGACACGCACTTACCCAGCTGACTGGTGCTGGGAATGGGCAGCCCCATTCACAGGGGATTTAGTTATCTGACAGCCTTTGAATTATGGAGATCACTGTTTTGCATATGCAAAACTGTTCTGCATCTGTGAACAAGTCAGGATAGAGAAAAGAAAATATTCTCCAAGTGTCCCACTAGGGTCCAAATAATAAGCTACAAAAAGTTGGACTGAGTTCCTGAGCTGATTTGCACTACTGACAATCATTTAGTGGACCTGCCCTGTCCAAAAGATCTAATAGATGGCTTTCCCCGAAAATAAAGGAGTTCCTAAGTTTGTACTATGTTTCTTATGACTTAAGTTAGGAGGCAGTGAAGAGAGGGAGAATTATTTCAAGGAAAAATATGAACTATTTTAAAAACTATATCACTATTTGAGGAAAAAGAAAAAAGAATCTGGAAAAAGGTTTTAACTGGAGTTTAAGGTAGGAAGAAAGCGCCTTCCAGACATTTGCTCACGAAGCACAAAACTATATCACTATTTGAGGAAAAAGCAAGAAGAATCTGGAAAATTGGAGTTTAAGGTAGGAAGAAAGCACCTTCCAGACATTTGTTCACGAAGCAGTAAAGATCACAGCATGAAAATGATCCATAGTTTAAACGGGTTACTGCCTTCAGCGCCTCAAATTGTGCTTGGTCATCCCACTTGTGAATACGGGAGAAAACTTCCTTGGGTAGTTTGTCAGAGGCTTTTCATTTGGTTTTCCTTTGTTTTAATTTATCAGAGGCTTTTCATTTGGTTTTCTTTTGTCAGGGCAGGAGTGAGAGCAGGAGTCCCTTGTGAATAGCAGCAGCTGTGGCCTTGCACACTGTCTGTTAAGTTTCTGATATACCTGTATCATTCCCGCATATTGGATTTCATCCTGTGAATCACACTTAGGATACCAGTATATTATTCTTCCTGTTATTATTTTCTCCAAGTCAGCTGCATGGGTAAAGAGATTGAGAGGAGGGAAAGACTAATAATTTAGCAAAGAATTTTGACATACATTATGTCTGTGTTAAGACAGAATATCCCATCCCATTATAGTACTTTCTGCTTCGGATGGAGGGGATGAAGATGTTTGGTCGGGGAGGAAAACAAGTCCAAACATGCCTGCAGTGGGAAAGAGGGCATCTTTCCCGATAAAAGTTT